TCATGACTAAGACTAGGTTGAGTGTAGGTGCAAAGTGAATTCTCGGGTATTCTCAGTGACAGGGTCATGAAAGATTTAAGCAGGCAAGGGGACCAAGACCTAGTGGTTTGGGGGAAGTGTCCAGAAGATAATTTTAGTAAGACAGATGCAACAGCTCAATTATGAATACAGAGATGGGATATTAGTATAGAACATCACTGATCACCACATTCTAGCCCACACCGAAGCTATGGATGAGGGCCTCTTTGGCAGTGTTGGGTACCATTGCCCGACTTAGTGTTGGAGTTGTGGAGTGGTCACATTTGGCAGGATCAAGACACTATCCAGCACACAAGAGAACTTGAGCTGGGGGTAGACTCTGTGGGGTTGTGTGGGCCCAACCCTTTGGAATACAAGTCCCCTGGGTTAGTTCCCAAGCTGGGATTGCAATGGTCTAAGCTAGGTGTGACCACGCCATCTGCCATCACTCATGGGTAAAGGAATCCACAACAGTCAGGGTAGGTCAAGGCAGCAGCACCCAAATGTGCATCTTTAAACAGGATGTGGGGTGGGCCGGGCTGCCACTGGAAGGGGGCAGAATGGGCAGGGCTGAACAAACCTTAACTCACAAGTAATAACAGAAATCAGGTTGGAGCACAGCTCATGCCAGGTAGGTCCTTGCACATACTGATCTGTGTGAGGCTGAGGCACTAAGCCACAGCATCCAAGGGGCCAGGACAAGTGAGGGGCTCTGCCAAGCGGAGACAGACCAACCACCGGCCTACACCTGCTCTATGGCAGGGCAGAGGCCCGGTTGGGGAAATAAACGGACACCCTAGCTGGGTTGAGTTTCCCACCAAGGAGTGCATGGGCTGGAACTGAGGCTACATTCTGATCAGGATACAATCATAATCTCACTTGGCACAATTGTGGACTGGGATGGGAAGCACCAAGCCAGGCCAAATTCCAACACCATCTGGTGCTCTGGAGGACCGGGGAGGGTTGTGTGACAGACTAGGTTAGGTCTCAGCCCTTACTGAACCATGTGTGAGCTGGGTAGGGGTATGGAAGAGCCATGGCTGGGTTGAAATGTCCAACAACAAGAACCAGCTTGGGTTGGAGGCCAGGCAGGAAAAGCCACTGTTCCTCTTAGGATAGCAGTCAAACTGAGTAGTGCTGGCTCATGGACCCACTGGTATGCGCGAAAACTGGCATTGGGAGAGGTTCTGGTGGAGGAGCCTGGGCAACTTCTCTGGCAGGACACAGTCCCATGCAGGTAAGCGCAAGAAGCACAATAGGGAACAACCCAGAACAGGCAATGAAAATTATCCCACTGGCATACATATGGCATGGGTTGGGGGCAGACCAGCCTGAATCTGTTCACATTACCTTCTGGTGAATCCGAGCACCAGAACAGAGTGTGGGTCGAGCCAGGTTCGGTTGCAACACATACCAGTACACAACAAGTAATGCCAAGGTGAGATGAGCCGTACCAGATGTGGCTGCAGCACACAAACAGCACATGTGACAATCAGGGAGGAGGCAAAGCCAACAGGGGAACGTGGGCACCCCTGCTGGATAACTACTTCCATTGGAAAGTGTGAATACTGATGGGGCAGTTCAGACTAGGCAGGGCTATAGCACCTGTGGGCCTCACGGTGAGCTGACTGTTCTGACTGGTGCAAGTTAAAATTAGAGTGGGTTGAGGGGTGTTTGGGCTTAGCCACAGCGTTAGCTGGCAGAGGCTGGTACTAGGAGCTAATTCTGTCAAGTCAAATGCCAAAACCACCTGGAGACTGCATACTCTGGGAGTGGGCGTGGCCTAGTAGGGAAATAGTGGGCACCTCCCTCAGGGTTACCACCCTCACTGGACAGCACGTAACCCAGGCTAGGAGCAGGGGTGGCTTGACAGAAAGGAACCTGCCAGTGGGTTTATGGGCTGGATAATAGGTTGGTTGGGTTGAACCAGGCTTCAATGTCCATTGACGTGTGCGAGAGCTAATTGGGATGTGGGACAGACTGGACAAGCCTGCAGTGCATACTGGCAAGCATGGGAACCAGGGTAGGGGGCAGAACTGGTAGGGGTTTTGGGGAGTCGCCCCAACTAGGCTGCAGCTCCAACTGGTTTGCATGAAGACCGAGTATGAAGTGGGTAGAATCGAGCTGGACTACAACACCCGTTGGTTCACAAGGAAGACAGGGCTGGAAGCCGAACGGACCCAGCAATCGCAACGACCAGCATATGCATAAGCTGATTGGTGTGATGAACAGTGTTGGAGTCTGTACTAGCAAACTCACTCAAGAATCAGATCTGGGATCAACTCAGATGAAGTTTCTTTGGATATTTCTCGAACTGAACTGCTGATCTTGGAACCCCAACCATCAAGAGACTGTCAGCCAGTGGACTCTGAATAGGTTTCATTACGGTTGGGATGGAGAGATTGGCAGCAATCCAGAACTGATGAACTGTCAAAACTGTATGAGCAGGACCCTTGGAGCGCGCTTCATGCTGGGGATCGGGGATGGGTGGGAGGTGGGGTGGGGCTTTCCCCTTTGTTATTCCCCTAACCCTAGAAACAGGGCAAAATGATTATATTAGTGTGGAAACAATGATATTACCCACTTTCTTTCTTTTTTTTTTTTTACTTTTAAACAGATTTTATATCTCTTTTTTTTTTTTTTTTGAAAGTGTGGAAACAATGATATTACCCACTTTCAAAAAAAAAAAAGAAAGAATAGAAAAGACCAGTGAAGTTATCACACTGTTAAGCTGCTATGATCTAAGTCACAAGACGGCCAGCCATGGCGCAGGGGCCAACTCTGGCTGCGCACTTCTTCTGGTGAATTTATGATGTAAAATTTTTAAAATAATGGGGGAAAAAATCAACACATAACAACAACATCTGATTACTGTCAGAAGGTGAAATTCGAATTTTAGTGCCCATAAATGAAATCCCACAGGAACACGGACAGGTTCGTCCTTTTACGACTTGTCTCGGATGCTCTTGGCCCATGTCAGCTTCTGAAAGAATGGTGGCAGAGACCCCTAGGCCAGCTGGGCCTTTACGGAAGACCCCTCCCCGCATCTACGCAAGTGCCTTCCAGGTGGTCCCAGTCTTCGCATTTCCTCCCAGCTGCCGCTAGATGGCAGAAAAGATCCTTAAACTAGCAGAACCCAGACCAAACTGCACTGCAAGGGGTTATTCGCAGGGGCAGCTTTCTCCTAATGTCGGCCCTTACTACCGCACGAAACATTTGTTTTCTATCGTGCTCAATAAACTGAAAATTACATATCCAAAAATAGTTTCAGAAGTCATTTTGTCTAGGACTAAGGTCTGCACTCTGAGGCAGCATTTCTTCCGTCCTGCCTAAAATTAACATCATGTGAATGTATATCACAAAAGAGATTCCTCGTGTTTAGTGTTGTCTACACAGCGGTCTTGGCTCATGAGAGTGAATTCTACCCACCTCCTCGGTGTCCATAATTGGCTCAGCCGACTGGTTTTAGATGAGGAAGGCCGTGTGTCCAGGCACGCACGAGCGTCTGTGCCAGGCATCGTGAGTCAGGCACTCAGTTTTACTTTAATTGAATTTAACTGGGCTTATCGTTTGATTGCTGCAGTTTTGAAGAGGCAAATTTTACACAGGAGCCCATCCAAGAAAGACGAATGGGCTTCCACGCACATCCTGCCTTCACGTTTTCAAATATATCAAAGTTGCATCAGATGCCCTCGAAGCAGGGCACGGCTTGGCACTGCGGGTGTGACAGCCGATTCCCGCTCCTCTTGGGACTGCTGGCATGACCACGAAATTCACCTTCCTAAACACACAGGCTCCTCATTTCTCAGCAACGAGATCCCGTGCACCACACACTTTTCAGGGCCTTGACCGAGAGGAGAATTTAGCCACAGATTCTCACATCTCCTCCTGCCACTTCGATTTCCAAGATTCTCCGTGGAGCCAAGAAAAGCCCCAATGCAGTAATGTATAACCTCCCGTACCTATAATGTGTAATGAAACTGCTCACCAGTTTCAATAACTCCTTCTATCATTACTTATTGAACCACTTGAAAATTGCCTGTATCATCACACTTTATCCTTAGATGATCTCCCACGTGGACCCTAAGCCAGTGACACTTTATCAACTATGCACAACACCATGCTATCAGCTAACATTCAATGAATATTGACATTCTCCCGTTAGCCACAGATGCCTTCTGGAGATTGTTCCTGAACCAAGACCTCCCTAGAGACATGCCTCACACGCGTTTGCTGGATGTTTTCAAGCCTTTAAACGACAAGCAATCCATACTCTAGGTAGTTTTGGTTGTCTTTCTTGCGGAGCCCCTGATGGTTTTGCGTACGTTTATGGTCCCTTTACACTGAAAGTTAGGCCCGAAGGCTTGAGCCGCGGTGCTCTCTACATCAAACGTCACATCATACTAACACGGATGCGATGTCCAGTGACCCGTCTGTTTTCACATTGATTTTATCAACGCGTGAAGGCATGATTTTTGTTACAAAAATGCATGCTTCCATTACAATCGACGAACAGCCAGCGAGGCTAGCCTTGGTCGCTGCAACAACTTTTTAAAGTAATGATCTCAGGCAGCGGCCACAGTCAGACATTTCATTAAGCATCCAATATGTGACCATTTTCCAATTCTTTTCGTCCTTTCTCTTTCATCAGCTATTAGCTATTGGGCATCGCTCCTCACTACCCAAGGATGCCCTAAGAATCCTCGGAAAACATCTCAGGAGATGCTTCACTCCAGCTGCTACGAACAGAGGAGCCCCCTCCTGCCTGCATCCCTGCTACACCTCCACTAACAAGACCCTTCCCTTCCTTCCAGCCCAGGCCGGCCCAACACAGTGCAAGCATTCGACTGCTTGCCCCAGCTGCCACCTCTCTGCTCCACATGTCATTTGCCATTGAGAAAGATCACCGTGAATCCGCAACGTCGAGCCAAAGCCATGGCTGTCACAACCTAGCCATGAAATGGCTCACGGATCTCACTTGCCTTGCGTAGTAGTCATTGGGTGGAACCGCTTCCTGGAAAAACTGGAACTGGTATAAATACAGTCCAATCAGGTGTCCAGCAGTGAAAATGGCCAGCAGGACACAGAGACAGCTGAACAGCAACGGGTCGAATGTCCGGCACCAGGACCACCACGTGCACAGTCCCAGAAACACGAAGAAATACACAGATGACGTCAGAGACGGCAGCATCATACCTGCGGGGGAAGGGACACAACCACGGAAAGTGAAAGTGGAAACTCACTTCCTGCTCGGCACACGGCACAGGAGGAAAGCATGTCAATTTCACTTGAATGTCTTTACGTCAGATTTCAAAAGCAGTAATCATAGCTCAGTTATACAGTCAGAATGGATATTATATTTCTTATTTTAAAAGGCAGATGTGAAGTGACAGGTTTGTAAATACAAGGAAAGACCAAAGGAAGAGACATCACCTGTGGGATCGAATAAATGAACACACATGCTTAAGAGCAGCAGAATTTGAAATACTCACTTCCCTGTTTCTTTCTTTCTGTCTCTTCGTCCATTCTTTCAGGAATTTGCATACACCCCCTAACAGGATTTTCTTTTGAAGACTGACTTTTCCTTTGTAAAGTCAGTCATCATGACATCAATGGCAAAGTCTCTGAAATGGCTCGCCGGACAACATTTTGATCAACAGGGGAGTTGCTAGGTGAGTTCATTTTTTTTTTATCTGTGTTTTATCTTTGAATTGTATTTATTTATTTACTTGTTTTTTTGAGAGGCTGGGAGCCGGACTTAATCCACATCTTCCTTGCAGGCGGCACGGACTCATCTCCGCCTGCAGTGCTCCCTCGGGGGGGGGGGGTGGCAGGAGTGGGCAGCAGGTGCAGGGCTCCAGGTCAGGCACGCCAGCGAGGGACGTTGCCGGTAGCCACCAGGCTTACTGCTCAATGGTAGGTATATTTTACAATAATCGGGGCATTTCCAAATGACTACCTACACTATTAAGCTTTATGCTCAAGAACTTCTATTTTCTTTTCCTCTCTATTTTCCTTTCAGGAAAGCTAAATTGCTTCATCTTTCCAATTTTAGCCAAGCAGCTGGAGTGACTCTACATTCACGGGCTCAGTAGTTCCAGAACATTGGTGAATGCCAGACTGGCAGGAGGCAGAAGATCAAGATAAGATTATTATGGAACAAGCATTCCAGGGCCAAAATTGCAAGGAAGTGAGTTGTCTACACTGGAAGATTACAATCTTATTTCGGAAGAAACATAGTATATCCTGGAGAGTTAAATTAAGATTACGAGGGAGCCAACGTAAACACACAGGCCCTCAGAACTGTCAACTGTGGCCAGTGGGGCAGCATCCAAGGCTGCTCCCAGGAACAGGTGGCCACGCCCACCAGGAAGAGGAGTAATTGCTATTGTAACCTAAACTTAGCAAAAGAGGTCCATTCTAGTAGATACAGAAAAAAATGATTATTATATAGGGGTTCATGGAAACTGCCTCCAGAACTTCAAAATTAAAGTTGAGCAGCAAAAACCATTCCTTTGTGTGCTTTGAGTGTGTGGTAAGACTGGGCAAGAGCTCCGGGGGAGTGGGAGGCTGGATCCCTGCTTGGTTTCCCTGGGCTCCTCTGCACAGGTCTGCGTGGGGAGCACTCACCCGAGGAGCCCAGTAAGATGGTCACCACGACTTTTCCTGCGGTGGTTATCATGTTGCCGATGAACTCCTTGAGCCGGGACGCCGCGGAGGCGAACCTGCGGAACAGCTTCAGCCTGGCGCTCTCCTCCAGCTCCCCCTCCGCGCCATCTCCTCCATCAAAGTCCTCGTCATAGATGAGCGCCTCTTCTGGGTCCACTTTCTCTCCTCCAGTCTAAAGAAATGAGAACCAGCAAAGATTCCAGTCCTTATGGCTGCCTAGCTGATGGGTAAGCCAAGGAGAGGGGGCTTTAAGAATGTGTGTGTTCGTTCTCTTGGGTCTCTGACAGTCTCTGTCAAGGCCAAGTCACCTTGGTCTTTCTCGAAGAGGTCAGCAAGAAACATCTCTGGTCCTAAAGTGTCTAACTGCACATCGCACAGGTGCTCATGAAGATGCTCTGAAGCATCCACTAGGAATCGCAGCTCTGATCTGCCTGGCTGTGCTTGCGCAAATTCACAGCTTGCCACTAAAGTCACCGTGAGTTTGAGAAAACCATCTGTGGCTGTGAAGTGTTGGGTTTAGGAGATATTCTTTGTGAAGTTTATCTTTGTTGGCTATTTCAGTATCTGCTGACTGGAGGAGGATGAGCAATTCCTTGGTCTTGGCTGGTTGCTTCCGGTCTTACGCTTTGGGAGACTGAATCCCACCCAGTCGGCTGCAGGCTGACTCAGATCTCCACGCTCTCAGGGGAGCCTGGGGGAGGGAGGCCCCATTCCTACACAGCATTTGTTGCTAGATACACTCAGGGGATTTGATGGTTGGTTTGTTTGTTAAAGGATCTTTCCCTGGAAGGGTTAGAGTTAGCATTTTTTTTTTTTCCAAAAGGGAGTCACGAGCAGAAGACAGCATCAAAGACAACAGGACTCTGTCAGACCTCTAGACTCGGCCCCCAGAGCTCACGTCCTCAGCCGTCTGCTCGGCAGAGCCAGCGGCCTGCAGGGCCAGAGCCACGCTGGGTCAAGAAGTCAAGAACGGGGCTTGGCCTCTGCGGGCTCCCATGTTAAAGGTTCTTTGCTGAGCCATTTCATCAGATGTTCACACCAGGCTCCTGGTGGATCTGCTTCCTACTGGACGTGAGGTCAATGGGGTAAGGCCCAGAGGCCGCAGTGGCCTGAAGACCACTTCCATCTGGCACCGAGAAGACGGACTATAGGTGACTACGACTGGCCATGGTGAGTCAAGGTTCCAGGTGGTACCTCCACAGCCCTCCACCCTCCACACACACACACACACACACACACACACACACACTCTCATATATAAACACAATCACCCCCACAGTTACTCTCATATATACACATACTCATATATGTGTATATATATATATACATTTACCCAATCCACCCACAGTCACACACTCACCTCCATACATACTTACACACACTCACAAACACACACTCTCATGTACAAACACATTCACCCCCACACATGCTCTTACATGCACACAGCTGCACACACTTATTCCCACATACACATCCACCCATTCACCCAACCCTACACTCACACTCACCCCCACATATATTTACACACACACATGCACCCTCTCTTTCAGACACAAATACACACACACACAGAGTCAGATCTGGACCAATCCCAGTTCAAGTATGTAATTCTGGCTTCGCTGTTCTCAATCACAGTATTTCTGTATGTTTTCCTTGAAGCAGAAAGTGTCTCTCACACTTATCCATGAAATTCCTCTCTTCGTACAAGGCCTGACGCATCCGAGCACCTCTGGGAAGAGACACGGCTGGAAACATGGAAGCTGGGAAAATGCACAGGCTTGGCATCACCGAGTAACAGATGCTTCTCTGAGAAGCCCAACTGGATGAGAGAGCTGTGGCTGCATGCTTAGGCTACTTCAGGTTCTAAGGTCGAAGGAGCCCCTCAGAGGCAGTGACATGGAAGCCACATTCAGGCCATCAAAAGGTCGCTATCAGACCTGTCTGGCTGGAAGAGCTAGTCCAAGGCTCCATGGCATGCTTGGGAAGACACCAAGCATCCCACTTCCACCACCCAGGGGACAGTTCCCTGCTTCTTACCCTTTTCCTCCTCGGACGGAAGACCTGGCTTCCTGTCTCAGGAGGGGAAGCAACAAGGACCTCAGCCAGCCTGGTACCCTCCCTTCCTGGCACGAGCTGCAGCTGCTGCCACAATGGTGATCAAAACCCATCTGCTCAGGGAAGCGGGGAGGCAGCAGTCCAAACATCCTCCCCTCTCCCCTGCAGCACCGTGATGTGCCCCCTTCCTCCTGGTCTGCTCCCACCACCGAGCAATCCTGGATCTCCTGGCTTAGAGCCACGTGTCCTCCCCGTCCACATTTGCCTCTCAGCGCAAGACTGGCCAGCGAGTCAGGTGCGCTGAGTGTGCAGTCCCCACCCTGAACTCCTCTCGGATCTCGCTGAACACAGCTTGGACCTGAAGATGCGCTTCGCAAGACACTGCGGTGGCTGTCAGCGGAGCAGCAGAGGTGCAAAGCAGCTCTCAGGGTCTGCTTCTGGCTTCTTCGCACCCTGTCCCCAACCCCCTTGGCCTGCCTGTCATACCAGCTCTCCTGTTTAGCCCAGTCTGTTTCTGTTGGCCTTCACCCAGAGGAGCTATTGTGACGACACCCCAGTCGCCACGTGCACACAGGCTGGGTGCCCATGGCTTCTGTCCCCTCACCATAGGTGGGCCAAGAGAGAAAACTCTCCCTCTAAGACAGAAGCTTGTCCCACCCTTCCATCCCTGCTTGTGGAAAAAAATAAAAAGCAATCCTGCAGCTAGGGCTGCCTGGGTCACAGTCAGAAACACACTCGTAACTTTCGTAATAAATGACTTCTTATTCAATTATAGACTTGCTGCGGATGTAGATTAAATCAAATAGAAATCTCTGCTTGCAAAGCCTTGGGGAGGTTATGCAAACGCATTTCCCTGACCTCAGGGTGGCAGGACAGGGGCCCCGTGGCTTGCATAAACAACCCACTGTTCTACAGGCCTTGCAGCATTTTTATACCACACTCCCTGGGGACCTCAGCTGGAACCACTTTTTAAACCTGCTAAGCGGAGGGAGAGCTGTGCGTGCAGGAGATCGGACTCAGCGGCCCCGTTGTCCTGGTTGGTTGGGCCAGCACTGCCATCAGTCACATTGCGCTGGCTTCCTACAGGCAGGCGTTTTCCTCCCAGATGATTCATCTGCTGAAATATAAACACAGGGGCTCTGGCTCAGCCCGGGCCCGCTCTGCCATGTTTACTAACAAGCAGCCTTCTGGCCGTGCGTCCACTTTGGAATGCAACTTGACTCTGACATAGGGGCTAAGAAGGAGGGGTGTCGGGAGAGACGGAACCCCTTTGGGGTCCTTCACACTTTCGAGTCATATACATTACATACGATTACTGTCCGTGTCCGAATCGAACACTGATGTACAGACTTGTAAGTCTCCAACCTCATCTCTTTGAAAGTTCGTTTTCAATAGGAAGCCTTGGCATGAGTGACAATAATGACAAGGCAGAAAAGACATTACACTAAGTCAGCGATGCGCATGGCAATAAACAGCACCAGGACCACACGTGGCATCTGAAAACCCGAGCAGAGTGCAGTGGTGGCTGCCGAACACCGAGGGCTGGGGAGGAGCTGGGCAATGCAGAGATGGCAGAAAGGGGACCAAGACCGGCTCCTCATCAGCTGTTGTGACTACGCCTCCTAGCAGCGCATAGTTAAAGATAACAGCCAGAGAAAAGAATTCCATGTCTTCTCAACACAAAGAAATAGTGCTTGGGGGCAGGGAAAGAAATGCTTAATGCAGGGCTTGCACGTTCTACTGCACAGACAAGGGGAAAAACACCACATCACCCTCATAAATACACAGGACTACTAGATCTCGGTTAAAAATAACACACAACCAACAATATGAAAACAAGCTCCTGATTTTCACATTCGATGACAAGTAGTGCCTCTTATTTCAAGCACCAAGTGCTGTGGGATCACCCTGCCCCAAATCAGAAATCTAGAGATGACTTTGCGCATTGCACCATAATGGAACCTGCGTGTGATCGGAGAGCTTGGAGGGCGTTGAAGCTGGTTTAGAGCCCATGCCAGGCTGGCCCTGGCAACCTCTGGGAAGTGTATTAAATGCCATAGTTCAGCTCAACAGTCACAATCTGAAAACACTGCCTGAATCTTCTAGCAGAGGTCGTTAATTGCAAAATATACTTCAGGTCTCAGACCAGTGCTTTCCACGGCCCTGGGCCCACTTTGCTCTTTTTCATGGTTGAAACCAAGCTTTGAAAACAGTTTCTAGAGTGGGTTCAAGTAACAGGTAAGGAACTCAGTCGTATGGAAGGCAACAGGAGGGAGCATTTCGCTAAAGTGACACTGGCTGTTTCCTCATTGTTTATTATCCAAAGTTAACAACTGATCTTAGCAGAATGGGTTCATCTCAATAGAAGAGCTTAGGAAGGGAAAGGCAAGCGGGCTGACTCTCTACAGAAGAAAAATGCTCGCTCTGTGCTCTCAGAACAAGAAGGCGGAGAGGAAGGTGGACTGTATGCTCTCAGAGGCGTTACATAAGTCTAACATGAGAGCGTTTCTCAGATAAAGCAAATATTTGATTCGGTTGCTACACTTGTTTGGGGAAGTTGTTATTTCTTTATTTTTTTCAGACGAATGGTGCAGGCGGCCCCCTAATTGACTTGGGAAAGTGTGAATGCCTTCAGCTACCAACTGTGCAGGCAAGGTGAGCCCAGGGGACGTGAAAACTACCGAGTGAGCTGACAGCCACTGGTTAGGATGGGAACTGCGGCATCTTCAGGCTTTCAAAACAAGAACAACAGAAACCACCCCTAATCCCACCACAAGTGCCCTGCCCTTGAGATTCTCACCACATATGTTTACAATCTATCTCTAGACGGCATTGAATTTAAAATGACTCTACATGTGAACTCCCCGGCCATAGCCAATGGGTTAGACACCACCTGTGGGGAAGGTCTTCTACATGACCCCACCCAGCCAAGGAGGGGCAGGGAACCCCCCCGCCCACGTCCCAGTCTCTCTCTCACTCTCTGGGAACATCCCAGCTGACACGCCATCTACAACATCCCTTCTGAGAGGTGCTTGCCCCTTCCTGTTTTCACATTCACTTGTTCACTTTGCTAATGAAATTTCTCCCCTGTCTGAAACTGACTCCCAGCTTTTTATT